CACTGTACCCCCACGCAGGGAACAGGTGTGGACGTCAGGGGGCAAGAGAGGCCCTTTCATCTCCCTGCAGATGGACCAGACTCTCGAGCCGTCATGTCCGTGGATGGCGGAAAGCGTCATCCTGATGACTCATTCGTGACGATTTGGTCACTTTAGGATGGTTCTTGGCCCACATTTGGGGGACATGAGTTCTTCTCCTAACCCCCTCTTCCCTTCTCCTGGGCTGGGCAGATCCTGGGCGCCCTGTGGACTTCCAGGTCTTGACTGAGGGGCAGACCAGTTCAGTTGCTGCCTGTGGCCCTCTGCTGAGATGTGACTCATCAGCCGCCCCTACCCTGGAGAAGGCTGAGGGCCCCGGGGTAGCTGGTCCCTTCGGGTCACTTTGTGTCTTCATCCTCCTCCCAGCCCTGGGCCCCTTCCCTCCTGCTGGCCCACCCCCAGCTTCCTTCCCACCCTTCCCGAGACGTTCTTCTGTCTGGTTTAGGGGGCATAGCATGATGGCTGGGGCTGCAGAGCTGGGCCTTGAATATCAGTTCTGTGACTTACCAGCTGTGTGACTCTGACTAAATTGCTCAACCTCTCTGGGCCACAGTTTCCTCAGATGGAGAATGGCGAAATGAATGAACACATATAAAAGTGCGGGTGCCTGTGAACGCTTCTCCTTCCTCTTCCCTGTATTGCCCCGGACGTAGGGGACTCGGCAGTGGTGGTGGAGAAATCCACCAGGCCCAGGCACTTGCTCAGCCCAGCTCCTGGTGGCAGACGTGGGTGGCACCTACCCTCAGTCACACCGCCCCTCTTCCTTGGTAACGAACCTGGGGTGTGGGTGGTTCCTCATTCCCAGGGTTAGTGGCTCCCAACCCGGTGAATCCAGCGCACCTTGGACTCTTACGTTCCCAGCCCAGAGCTGGTTTAGGCACAGCACTTGGGGTGGTTCTGCTGGCGGGTCTGAAGCCAGTCGGTAACAGCAGCTTCTAGGGAAGGCTTTCTTATTTTTCAGAGATTCTAAGAAGAGACTGCCCCTTTCCTGGGCATCGCTGGATCTGGGTGGGATTCCTGGGGCTGTGGCAGCTGTTTTGTAGCCTTGAGGAGCGCCAGCCTGAACCCCAGAATGGCCATGAGGACAGAGGTGGAAGGGGCCAGGCAGCTGATCGCACCGGCTGGGGCCTTTCGTGACACTCAGAAGCAAATGTTCTTTTTGCAACGAGTGGGGCTTTTGCAATGCATCGGAAGGGCCTCTCCTGGATACTGTTCTCCTGCTGGCACATTGGACATCTTGCTCTATGTGAACTTCTCCGGAGCCACCTGCTGTCAGCCCAGAGGACGAGGTCCAAGCTTCCTCTGTGCCCACAGCCTTCACCTGACTCTTGTCTCAGGCTCTCCCCAGCCCACTCCCTGCCATGATGCTCACGGTCTGTGGGATTCTTGCTCTTCTCTCTTAGTATTCCAGCCTCTACTGAACTGGTGGGTGAGGGTGGGTAAGATTTTAAAAATAAAATACATGGTCTGTGGGAGAGATGCTTCAATGTGGAGATATTAAAGTTAAGAAGTTCTATTCATTCACTAGAGACAGATTCAAAAGAACAAAAAGGTAAGCTATGAACTGGGAGAAAGCATTCTCATCATAAATATTAATAATTGACAAAGGATTGGTAGCCTGCATATATAAAGAACGTTTGTAGATCAATAAGAAAAATGACATACAACCCAATAGCAAAGAGCAAAATAAATGAGCAGGCATCTCACATAAGACAGAAGCTAGATGCCTGATAGCAACCCAGAAGGGCTCAGCCTCAGTGGGGATTGGGAAGCCAAATGAGGAGACCCCACTGTGGTCTCCAGGTGCAGGGCAACTCCCTCTTAGATCCCCCAGTCACACTGAGTGATGGATGGGACTGGGGTCTTTAGGACCTCGTGTTCTGAATGAAGGGTCAATTTGAGCAATTGCTTTCGAAAAATTTGGACTCATTTGTAAAGTTTAACATCCACAAGCTCCAAAGCCCCGAAAGCTCTTGAACACATGCCCCAGGACACGGATTGTGCAGAAAGCCAGAGACGCCCCAAAGTACACTGGTAGAACATGGGCAGGTGCATTCACGTGGCAGAGCGGTACACGGCAGCGGGCACGGAGGCACCGGGGCTCCAGTCTGTGACAGGGACAGTCTTAGCAACCAGACCTAGCGGGACAGGGTTAGTGCAACATACAGTAGGCTAAGTAGAAAAACAACGGAAATGAAAGTGTGGAACTTAAGTACACGTTTATATGAAATGAAACGAAAGTCAGAGGAACCTAATAAGCGTGCAGCTCAGGCTTGTGTTTGCCTCTGCGGAGGTAGGAAGGCAGGAGGATGCGATAGGAGAGAATGCACAGGTAATGCGTTCATTCTTGGGTTTGGGGCACAGGGGTGTTCATTTTAATATCATTGTCATTGTTATTATTATTGTTAATTACTCTTTGAGACAGGATCTTGCTCTGTTGCCCAGGATGGAGGGCAGTGGTGCAATCACTGCTCCCAGTAGCCTTGACCACCTGGGCTCAAAAGATTCTCCCATTTCAGCCTCCCAAGTAGCTGGGACTATGGACACGTACCACCATGCCTGGCTCATTTTTATTTTCAATTTTTTGTAGAGATGGGGTCTTGCTATGTTGTCCAGGTTGGTCTTGAACTCCTGAGCTCAACTGATCCTCCGTTCTTGGCTTCCCAGAGTGTTGGGATTGCAGGGCTTGAGCCAGTGTGCCCGGCCCAGTTTTTAATGACACACAAATGAATGCACAGACAAATTCGTAAGTACAATCAAAGTGGCCATGTGTGAAGGAGTGATGGGGGGGTGTCATGGGCCCAGGGGTCACTTCATCTGCTTTTGAGCTCCTAAGTCCAGATAGTGCATGGAGACCCCTGACTCTGTCCCCAGGAAACCTGACACCTGCTTAGGGGAAGAATTCAGCACAGGGCAGCACAGAAGGAAACACCGACAGTCCCATGGCTTGGTTGCCCCGTGACGTGCTTCCTTCCAGGGAATTCCCAGGGTGTATGTAACTCAGGGCCCACAGCTGCACATGCCAGGCGCGGGGACAGAGCCGGCTGTGGCCACGCGTGAGCCTGTGATCCCTGCCTGCTTCCTCCAGCTCCCGGCGTTTTCCAAGCACCAGCTTAAGAGACAGGAATGACTTCAAGCAGGAAGCGCTGGGTGAAGTTCAAGTTTAAAATGGTTTTCCTGGAATTTCTCAGGGCCCATTCAATCTAAGAGTCAATCGTTCACAGTTTTTCCCTCCCGGCACTCGGTGGATGGAAGGCTGCCAGGCTGTGGTTATACGGGAAGTCCCTTTGTATGGCTTCCGGCTTTGACCCGTTTGTGGACAGCGTGGAGCCGCTTCCTTGCTTTAACAATCCCTGACCCGAAGAGGCTGCAGGAGAAAGTGGATTCTGAGTTGAGGGTGTAAGAACCTGGTTCTTTCCTGTGCTGAATGTGGGGTAGCGTGCGGGAGGGGACAAGGATGTCACAGAACATCTCAGCATGCAAAAGTCAGGTCTGTGACTGGCCTGGAGGCAGGTTTTGGCAGAATTTCCTGGGTGTGTCCTGAGAACACTCATTCCATAGGATGCTAATATGTGTGACGTGAGAAAAAAGAATTCCAGTCAAGTAACATCGGGAACGCTGATTTCAGATGGCGTTTATCACCTTCTCGGAGGGAGGGCCTCCCTGGCATGAGTGCCTTCCTGAGCACTGGGAGATGCTGAGGGGCTGAGCGTGGCGTGGTCCTCAGATCACTGGCCTGGGGGGTATTCTGTGGGCAGATGCCTGAGGGTGCCCACCTGGGGTCCGGCTCGGCCTCCGTGTCAGGGGATGTTTCTCCATCATGACAGGTCCCCGCTCCTGGTGTGTGGTGGACGAGCTCACCTTCCTGGGGGACAAGGGCAGGTGTCCCCAGAGGCGGGTCCCATCGAGCTTCCTGCCTGGCGCCCCTCTCGTCCCTCGGTCAATCATCGTCATCTGAATCTCTGCCGCCACCGCCCTCTTCCATAGGGTTTTGAGAAATTACCAGGAGTCAGAGGTCACGTCTCAGCCCTCGCTCTCCTGATTTTGAGGTGGGGACTCACAGGTCCAGGCCTGGGCTTAGGCTGGGGACAGACAGGAGAGGTGGAATCGAGGTCACACAGCATGGATTTTGGGGTCACTGGCCTGGGGGATATTCTGTGGGCAGATGCCTGCAGAAGGGAAGGTTTTTAGGACACCAGTCAAATCCCCAGGGAGTGGAGGGGTGCTGGGGTTCTGCATGCTCTGTGTGGTCGCCAGCTCCCGGCGGGGTGGGGCCTGGCACCAGCTTTGAGGCTGCCCTGTTGGAGAGCCCTGTGGTCTGGCTCCTGGAACTTGGACAGAGACACACCTGGCATTTGGCCAGGTGTGGAATTGCATTTGTTTCTGCCTTTATCAGTTAGCAAGGCCATTGTTCATGGAGTGGGGGCTCCCTGGCAGCAGCTGGAGCCAATAGCTGGATGTGGCTTTTCTGGGTACCAGGGGACTGGAAGCTGGGAAAGGCCAACCTCGGGTACCTGTGCGAATCCGGGCAAAGGCTGGTGGCCTCTGGGCATCTGGGCCAGCCCCTGGAACCCATTCAGCTGCCCGTGGGCCAGGACACTGCTCAGCAGCCTCTGGGATGATGGCCTTTGGAGGTGGCAGGACTTGTGGTCAGGAGTATCCTGTGGCCTGAGAGTTATACCCGGGCAGAGTCAGACCCCTGTGGGGGAGAGCGAAATTTCCTTATAGCGTGAGTCAGGCTCCCCAGCAGACACAACCAGAAGGACATGCAGAGAGAGAGGCTTCGGAAAGGAACCTGGCTCCTTCGATTCTGGCGGCTGGCAGGTCCCAACGTCTGTGCCCGGCAGGCAGGAGGCCCAGGAGAGCCGACATGTATTTGTGGCCCGAGTCCAAAGGTGGGAAAAGACGGAGGTCTCAGCCTGGCAGTCGGGCAAGAGGAGTCCACTCCTGTTCTACCCCAGCTGTCAGCTGACTGCACACCGGGGAGGGTGCCCGCCTTGCCCTCCTGTGGATGCAGCTGTGACCCTCATCCAGAACGCCCTGAGGCACACCTGGATGGCATCTGACCAAACGTCCGGGTGCTCCGGGTCCGAGGTGAGTTGACACATAAAATTAACCACAGCGCTAAGCGAGCCGGTGTCCTCGATGGAAGGCTGGGGCCGGACGGGGGCGTTTCGTGGTCTCCCTAAATGGAGAGGTGGAAGCAGGCCCTGCCCAGATGGCTGCTCCGTCCTCTCTGCAGATAACTCAGCCCGCTGGTCCCGGGGATGCAGAGCGGGGAGCCCTCTGCAGGGAGCCTGGCCTGGAATGGGCAGTCCTCTGTGACCAGTCCGCACGGGCTGAGGGCCAGCCCCCTGCCCCCTGCCCTGGTCCAGGGCACCGTGGGCCCCTCATTCCTTTCTGCAGCTGGACCCCGTGGCTGGGAAGAATCCCGATTCAGGTTCTCTAAGGCGAATAATTGCCAGTAAGTGTCAGGTTGGGGACTGAGCGGCAGGGCAGGAGGGGCGGGGCCGGGGGCGGGGCTTGGGCCTGGGGCTGGGCTGGGGCGGGGCCTGGGGTGGGGGCGGGGCCGGCTCCTTCCTCCCCAAGGTGGCACCTTCCTGTGACTTCTTCTCCTGCCCCAGGCCAGACCCCGCCCTTGACCAGCTCTGGTTCCAAGATGAATCCCAGGATGGCGGCGTCTCAGAAGCTTCCGGAAGGCGGCCGAAGATACGCACCGAGAACCGAGGGGCCCGAGGATGAGGCCTCTCGTTCTGGCCTGAAGTTGAGGTCTCTTCTTCAGGGACTGGTCAGGGTCCCTGTCCTAGCAGAGAGGGGCCCCTGGGTTGGGGGCCTGCTAGTACCTGTGGGTGGGGGTGGGGGGCGAGTGAGGGACCCTGGTGTCCCCTGCGTGCTGCAGCCAGATGCTTGCTACCACCACCTCCAGGGGTGCTCCTGGCAGCCTTACTTCTGGCTCAGTTCCCTGGGTCCAGCTGGGAGCATGCAGGGGTCCCTGGCCATGGCGGACAGTGGGGAGTGGCTGGGAGGCGGGGGCTGTCCTGTCCTCAGGAGTGAGTGCTGCAGGCCTGGGGCTGAGCCGGTCTGGACAGCAGACTGCGGAAGAGCCCCTGGTAGGAGCGATGGGTGAGGTAGTCGCGGGTGACCAGCTCTGTCTCCCCAGTGAGATCGACACTGTGTGTCTCCGTGTGGAGGGTGATGGCTCAGGGTGTGGTCCCTGGTCCTGAACTTTCTGGGCTCAAGTCCGGGCACTGCCCCTTACAGGCTGAGTGCCCCGGGGCGTTTCTCCACTCTCTCTGTTTCCTTGTCTGTAGAATGGGGTGGCTGCAGCTCCCACCCCACAGGGTCATCACAAGGGATTAAGCACATTGGCACTGAAAGACCTTAGTGCAGCACCGGGCATGGGTCAGTGCCATCAGCATCATTTACAAAACTCCAAAAACATCCTGCATCTGAGGGCAGATGAGGCGGTCCCCGCCGCCGCCCGGGGCTGCTGGGGCTCCTGGCCCCTGGCCACATGGCTGCTTCCTTTCCTCTCCGTCTTCCTGGCACAGCCTGACGGTCCCTCTCTTCCTGCAGAGACGGGCATTTCTTCTGGAACTTGTGTCTCAGCCCTGACTTACCCACTTCCAGTTTCCATCCCTCAGGGAGTCAAAAGTGACCCCATGATTATCTGATCCGCAGAAAAGCAGAAGTGTGAACCTACTTTACTATGAAAAATAAGAAAATTAAGGCCGGGTGCGGTGGCTCACGCCTGTCACCCCAGCACTGTGGGAGGCTGAGGCAGGTGGATCACTTGACGTCAGGAGTTCGAGACCAGCCTGGTCAACGTGGCGAAACCCTTTCTCTACTAGAATTATAAAAATTAGCTGGGTGTGGTGACGGGCGCCTGTAATTCCAGCTACTTGGGAGGCTGAGGCAGGAGAATCAATTGAACCTGGGAGGTGGAGGCTGCAGTGAGCCGAGATCACGCCACTGCACTCCAGCCTGGGTGACAGAGACTCTGTCTCAAAAAAAAAGGAAATTAGACAGCGAAGTCCAGCAGAAGCGGCACCTGCCGTTGGCATCGCTGAGGTCCCACTTGTCGCCTGTAATCAGCCCCACACCCATATCCTCAGTCTTAGCCACGCCTGCCTCAGTTGCTGCTGGAGCAGCTGGGCCTTTTCCTAACATTTTCTCAGCAAAAACGCTGGCCTCCCCTCACACACACGAGGCAGGGGTCTGCGGGCTGCGTCTTGCCAACCAGAATTCCCAGCAGCATTCTTATGAGAAAGCGTATTTACCCACGGCCCCGCCCCGGGCCTCACGAGGGGCGCTTGATGCAACTCACTCTTTCCTTCCAAAAGTGCTTGTCCAGTGTAGGGTGGCAGGTTCAGGCAGGCGGCAGAGGACATGAGAGAGAGTCCTCACCCCTTGGAGGCTTCGTTCATGTCCACATCAGCAGAGAGCAACAAATGCAGGAAGGGCAGAGGCAGGATTCGGAGGGACACTGAGGCAGGCTGGGGATGGGGTGCCAGGCTGGGTCAGGGCCGTTATCATTTTACACCAATGATGGAGCCTCTGTGCCGGGTGACGTTCCTGCAGGAAGGAAGGGACGAGCCAGGTGGATGCGGGAGAGGGCTCTTCTGGGCTCAGAGGAGTATCCCAAGGTGTCGTGAGTGGGTGGATGGAAACTCGGACATGAGGATGAACAGGGAAGGCTGGAGTTCCGGGGCCCAGGGAGCCAGCACTGAGAGATTTTTCTGGCACCAGCTCGATGCCCTGGAGAGCAGAGCCTGTCTCCCGCCGCCCTCTCTTCCTTCTCTGTCTGCAGGCACCTGGAAGCTCCTCCTCCCTCTCGGACCCCACCCATCCCATCCTCTTCCCTTCCTCAGCTGCTCGGGCAATGACAGGGAAGATCCCACCCCTCCTCTGATGCCTCGCATTCCCTCCCTGGGCTTCTAGAGGGTCCCCCTTCCCAGCCCACAGGGGCACAGGCCATCTTGATTTGGGGCGCCAGCCTCCCGGCTGCAGGTCCTTCCAGCCCCACCGTCTGGACCCAGCCCTGGCAAGCCCCCCACTGGCCATATGGTCCTGAGCAGGCCAGTGTGCCCAGCTCTGTGCCAGGGCATGCTGCTGGGGATGAGGACACACACCGTGCCTGCATAGACCTGTGCTCTGCGCCTGGTGGCTTCCTGGTCTGTGGTGGGGGAACACGCCTACCCCCTCCCCTCTCCTGTGCTTCCTGCTGCAGCTTGAGGTCCCCCTCAGGGTGCCCTGGACACCTGCAACCCAAGCCTGGACACGCGCACTGCTAGCATACGCTGCATGGCTGAGCTGGTGGCTGGGGCAAAGGACGGGGCCCACGCTGGCCAAGGACAACCTCAGACAGGCCAGGGTGGAAGGCCAGCTCCCCGCACCCCATCCTGGACAGGCCAGGCTGTCCCGTCACCTTCTGTCCTGGATAGCACTCCCAAGAGGATGGCATCCTGGAGCCAGTCCTCAAAGGCAGGAGGGTGGCCATCGAGAGAGGGGAAGCCCTCAGAGGCCACGTGCAGCTGCGGAGTTGGAAAGAGGGGGAGGTGGGAGACGCCTGCACTGGGCCATGGCCTCAGGCCCAAAGGCAGCTGCTGGCTCTGCGGGGCTGTGCAGGCCCCTCCCGGTCTCCTGCGGCTCTGCCAGGCCCACTGTTCTTCTAGACCCACCCGCCAGCCCCAGCTCCTGCCCTGCCCCTGCAGAGCCTCCTGGGCGGCTCACACACAGCAGGGCCGAGACCCAACTCCCACCTTCCTCTGGAAATCCCTCCTCCCAGAGCCTCTACCCTGGCCTGGGGGCCATGCTGCCCTCACTTCCAGGCTGGTGGCCCAGCTGGTGGCCTGGCTGGTGGCCCAGCTGCTCCCTCTGTACACCCCGTCTCCTCTTTCCACCCCCATTGCCCAGCGTTGCCCCAGCTTTAGCGTGGACCATGAAATGGCGCCTTCCGGCTCTCCCAGGGAGCAGGTCCTCTCCCGAACTCCTCAATCTGACCGCATCCATCTTCACCAGAGCCCACAGCTCACCAGGCCCAGGACCCCCGGTGTGGTCCCTGCTCACCCGGCCCAGCAGGCTCCTGCACTCCCAGAGCGCCCAGTGTGGCTTCTCTTCCTGGCCCCACCCTAGGGCCTTGGTGTGGGCAGGACACACCCTTCCTCGGGGCTCCCGGAGACCCCCATGCATTCCTCTGTCTGGGTGGCCATGGGGGGCTCTGAGCAATGTCCTGCACCTCCTTTCTGCCTGGCAGGGTGCCTGACACAAGGTCGGCCTCAGTGAAATGTGGGCTGTGTAAGTTCGCAAAGCTGACCCTGGGTGCCCGGGTCCTAACATGTGAGAGTCGTGGCTGCTCTAGACAGGGAGGCTTTGAGGCTGTCCCTCCGTGCAGGCGTCTCCCACGGCCGGCTCCCCACCCTGCCCCACCACGGTTGCACCTGGCCTCCGGGGGCTTCCCTCTCTCGACATCCGCCCCCTGCCTTTGAGGACTGGCCCCAGGACCCCATCCTCTGTTGGGGGGTCGCTAATCATGATGGACAGTGACGGGACAGCCTGGCCTGTCCAGGACGGAGTGCGGGGAACTGGTCTTTGACCCTGGCCTGTCTGCTTTGCCGGCGCCTGGGATGTCCCCCTGCGGCCCCGCTGTAGTCGTGGGTTGCCCATCCCCCCAACACAGCCCCCAAGAAGGGGGACCATCTGCCCTGTCCATCCGACTACAGCCCCCAGCCTGGGACATGGCTTGTAGCAGGTGCACAAAAATATTTGTTGAACAAACGAATGAAAAAGGCTCTTTGGCTCCTGGTGTGGTCTGCCATGCTGCGCCTCAGTGTCCCCATCTGAATGTGGATGGTAAGGCATTTGCTGTGAGAACTACACCAGATAATCCACGTGCAGGGTTTAACCCAGTGCCTGGGCCGCAGCATTCGACAGATGGGTGTGGGTCTGGTATTGTTCTGCCACAACCACGAGGCGCGCCATGGGCCACCGCTCATGTGGCCAACTGTGCCAGGTCCCCCCTGGGTTGTGGTCTCCACCAGGCCCAGCGGAGGCTCCCAGGTGAGGCACTGTGAGGCAGCAGGGAGCTTCCTTCAAAAGTGGGGGCATCGTGCCCATGGGCCAAGTGAGGATGATCCTCCCTAGGAGGGGCTGGGACCAGGGCTCTGGCTCAGGGCACAGGCTTGGGATGGGCACGGCCTCTACCCTGTGGGCCTGCCCTGTCCCTGTGCCAGCACTGTGCTGCTCCCTGCAGACTGACTTGGCACTGGGAGTGCTGGGATAGGCCTCGCCGCGCTTCCCCACTGGGCTGTACTTCTCCCGAAAGAAAGACAAGTGAGTTTTAATTTGTTCCAACTTGACACAGAAATCCCTCTGGAGAAATTGGGCCACCAAGCACAGAAACCGTCAGCTGGCTGCACCCCACAGCCCTTTCTCACCAACAGGCCCTGGTTCTTTCTGAGCACACGGGGTCCTGGGGGCGGCCCTCTGGACCCCAGGCCCACGCTCGGAGTTCCAGAAGTGGAGGAGCCTTGGGGAGACGAAGGGCAGCCCGGGGACAGAATTCCACACCTCGGAGCAATAAGGGGCCTCAGGGAGGCTGCTCTCCACCCCAACCCCTTTGAGAAGGTGAGGATTCGGTCCAGAGAAAGGAAGGGACTTGCTAGAGTCACCCTGTGCATCCAAGCTGAGACCAGCACGAAGCCCTCTGACTCCCAGCGAAGTGGGCGTTGGGAAGGGTGGCTTGTGCCCTAGCCTCAGTCCTGCGGGCACTGCCTCTGTCTCACTCTCTGCCAGGTGCTGACACCTCTCTGGTGGTGCCCTGTCCTGTAAACTGTGGAGAGCACACCTGCCTTCCAGGTGTGTGCGTGTTATGGCAGCTGTCCCCAAGCTTCATAGCACCAGGGACAGGTTTCCTGGAAGACAGTTTTTCCAGGGACAGGGTCGGGGGTGGTTTCAGCATGAACCTGTTCCACCTCAGATCGTCGCCAGACTCTCACCAGGACCTGCAACCCAGATCCCTCGCATGCGCAGGTCGATAGGGTTCTTGCTCCTATGAGAATCTAACACCGCTGATCTGACAGGAGGTGGAGCTCAGGGGGTCACACTGGTTCAGCCGCCGCTTACCTCCTGCTGTGTGGCCCGCCTCCTAACAGGCCGTGGACCAGTACCTGTCTGCGCCCTGGGGTTTGGGGTCCCCTGCATTAGGGGAGTTAACATGTCCCAGGTGTCCACAGGCTTCTGGGGGTGGGCTCAGAGTGCTGGCAGGTCCTCAAGGTTCTCCCACGCCTCCCAGATTCTCTCCCGCCTCCCAGAGTCTCCCCCCACCTCCCACTCCCAGGGTCTCCCCCGCCTCCCAGAGTCTCCCCCTGCCTCCCAGAGTCTCCCCGCCACCTCCCAGAGTCTCTCCTACCTCCCAGATTCCAGGCACATTCAGGGTTCAAGTCTTGGAGTGTCCAGTTTCATCAGGTGGACACTCAAGTCCCCCCGGGTCAGTATGTCAAGTCTCAGCAAGTGACCCCAAGGTCACTGCGTTTGTGGAGGGGACCTTGCCCCGCTGCCGGGAGCAGGCCTGAGACTGGGGTGGGCTCAGCCACTCTGAGCTGTGCACTCTTGGCCAAGGTGCATTCCTTATCTTCCTTGTCACACTGAGCCTTAGTTTCTCCATTGGTAATGGAGGAGATGGAGGCCTAACAAACAGCCTTGCGTGGGGCTTGTGGGGGCGTGTGAAGAGTCCAGGAGCCCGCAGACTCCAGGAGGCTGGGGCTGCGGTGA